TAAGTATTTTCATGAATCTTGTATAGAAAAATTCGCACTCCATCATACAAAAGAAGACGCCTCCTCTCAGTTGCTTTAAACTTGGCTTGATAATACAAAGATCTCGGTCTACGACTGAATTCCATGGGGATCCAAGGAGCAATGTCAATCATACCAGAACATAAATTGAAACATGCTAACCTTGAGATTTTACCATATGTGATAGCTTGATACCCACAGAGATATTGAACCCATCTTTTAAAAGCTCCTTCAAATAACAAATGCATGGGATCTAAACGAAACTGTGAAATCATTCTATTGTTGTCACTTCTCATGGCTTCTAGGGGCGAATCTCCATCATGATGATCAAGCTGATCCTTTCTCCTAAAGGATTCATCTGTACGCAATGGTGCATTAAAATCCAAAAAGATTTCACGATTTCTAAAACGCGCACCTCTTACTGTGCACTTTTCACATGCATAAACACTGTTGTGACTTGAAATACATTTTACATATTGTCGTGCTACAGCATCGAGTATGTAATTCCCGATTTTAAAGGGAAAGCGGCTGCCATGAAAGTTATAACCATTCAGTGCTAATTCATCAACTTCATGAATAAAGTCCGTTAAAAAAGCATTAATACTGTCTGCTTTTCCAAAACCATGCCACACACCTATGATGAATGGTACAGCTTCTCCTATCAGACAACCTAGTATACACCAGAAATTATCATCAGTGCTGCTAAATAATGCCAAACCATCAATGTTTACATCAATAATAATTTCTTTGCGTTCCAGCAAGTAATCATCTGTGATCCTTTGATTTAAATTAGCAATGATACCTTTGTACCACATTGAACCTTCACCATTACGTTGCAATTCAACTCTGCGTGGGGTTTGCAGTAAAGTCTTGTGAGACTTTGGTAAAGAGCTATGGAGGGGTCTTAGCCCTGCAAGAAGTTCATCAACTTTCCTATGTGCAACACCCCTCATTGCCCATTCCTTCAAAAACCTTGACATGTATTTATCAGAATCCTCTGCTGACTGAATGTCATTCTGGTCCTGGATATTAATTGCAAACTCTTCATCTAAATCAATATCAACGGCTTCAGCCTCCGCTTCTTGCTCAAAACTAGTATTGCAATCATTGTGATCTAATTCATTATCATCACTGGAAAGATTGTTTCGGTTCTCCTCCACCTCTGAATAAACTAATGAATCATCCCTGACTGAATGTTGATTATGGCTTCCTACCTCAAAAACTTCTAATGCATCATCAACTTGTGATAAAGTTTGTCTTACTTCTTCGGTATAAAGAAGCTTTCTGACTACTTTTACAGATGCAGCATGCAACTTGCGTTTCATACTTCACTTTACAATAGACTAAAGAGGATAATACCTGAATGACAAAATATCAACAAAGTTAACAAAAATAATATTGCAACACCATGATAACACAACAACACATGTTGAAACACATGAAAGAGAAAAGATTCTAGGTGGGTAGAAAGCTCCTTTTCACTCTTCAGCTTCATTTTCTTGTCAACAGGACTTTCCTAATTCAAATGTGATCATGCCGTCCTCTCTAACATTATAAATCAAAAGTGAGGTTAGGCGGGCCGGCACATTACGCCGAAATAAACAGCTTCATTCTATCTGAATGTTGTAAAAAATGT